CAGCTGCGAATCTCGGGTAGTTTCATGTTACTCATCCTTGCCGATCGGTTATGTATCAACTATAAGTGATAAAAAAGACTTCATTTGTTTCCCGAATTCACAATCCACAAAGTCCCGTCCACCCCCCCCTCCAAACCCTCTCTTTGAGGGGGACCTCCTTGGTACATTAAATATGGTCCAATTTATATGGATTTGTGTGATGTCGTTATCGTATTGTACCGGAGAATTTTATAAATATGTTTTACGGCCCATTTCACTACAGGGCCACACAAAATCACGGCAAAGTCTCTAAAAAGACTAATTACACTATGAATAACAATTAACGTGTAATTAATTAAGTATTCCATATACACATTAATGACAGACGGATGATATGTCAGAGATTTGATTTTGTAATACTTTGTATAACTTATACACACTTATATTTTTACTAGTCTTGGTTTACACAAGTTTAGTTTACAAATTTCAGTCTTTACCTAAAATAAAACATAATAATATGGGGACACCTTTACATATCCAAAGAAAAAATTGACATACTTTGAAGTAGGTTTTGATACATCCGACGACGAAGGTTGTGATAGTGTCTATATAGTAATATAATCCATTTCATTAGCTTTACACCATAAAAGAAAATTAACCTAAGAAGACACAAAACTGAAAACACAAGTGTGTCCAATTTAGAACGGGTAATGGGTCATGAGGAGGACAAAACACCTAACAATTTACAAACGATAACTTCTTCTCGACTTAGTAGAAGTTTTATTACTCAAGACTACTTAAATCATGACAAAATAGCCGGCCAGCTAATCAATCAGAGCAGACTGGGCTCTGGTTTCAGACAGTGGGTGAAAAGAGGGGCTGCAGCACAGGCAGTATGAGAAGAATAAAGACCTTTTTGAACAATAAAGCATGGAGACATGTCACAGTAGAGACACTAAATACAAATATCAACCTGAAAATTAGCATAATATGGCCCCTTTAATATATCAAAAATAGGATACAAATATCTTTTAGTACAAATCCTTATGACAGCCTTATTTTTCACTATAGGAGCATTTTAAATGGTTCACAATATCACAGCTAAATTGACTACTTTTAGCTTTCTACCAGCATGATATGATCCATTTGAATTTATTTCACTTTGGCAGCACACAGTTTTGTTTTTATCCTCTCAACACAAACGGAAAATGCCGCAAGCCTGTATTTATTCAGATGTTTGGGTCAGATGCAGTGTGTGCCAAATGAACTCTGACGGCATATTTATCACACTACTCCACACGGCGATTCACGCCCACGCTGTCTTCTAAATCAACAAACAACCCTCCTTTTACCTCCCACTCTCCTGAACCAAAATAGACCTCGCTCCTCAGATTCAGTGACTGCTTGGTAGAAATCACACCAGATTGCAAAGTTCCCTGGTTGGAATAACTAAATATATCACGAGACATAAAATAATTTTGAAAGGCGATAACAAATAAATATACATACCAGTCGGGCTACAGGAATGAAATTGGAATCCATCGAGACGATTCGGAATTGGACTGTAAATAAAAAGCAGAAAAAAATAAATAAAAATAGCACTAATGGTTTCTCTGAACATAAAACACAAACAGCAATACATAACATCGGTAAGGGAAACAGAGAATCAATTCAATAAAACCCTACAGTACAGCGAGTGGGAGGAGGGACATCTGATGGATAACTTTCATGGTACAAAGGCCAGTGTTTCCCCTAGGATGGAGTCATAGCAGCGGTGCTAAGTACTAAATACTCAGAGAGTCCTTCACCTCACTGAGCCTCTCAGTCTGACAGGATAGCTCTCCTCCACCCTGGTTGTAGAAACATCTACTTCTTATATCCGTTAGCGCAGCTAGCACCAGATTCTAATAACAACAGCACCGGTACCGGTGCGCCCTCTCCCTTGCTCGCTCTCTCGCTACCACGCTCGCACTTTGGCTGTGAGCTGCGTGCGCCTGATAAGCCAACATCCCCCACTTTCATCACTTACACTTACAGCGCCCAAAATACAGGGCAAATTAATCGTGTAACCGGGGTGAAAAGGGTGTTACATTTACTTAATTATGAATGTTGTTACATCAAGGCCGAACATTTGGATGAGCGCCAACGGTCAAAAATGTTTTTTCCCTCCCAGAGCTACCAGCGCACCGCCCCCCAGATCTGGCGCCCTAGGCCAGAAATGGGCCCTGCCTAGTACATACAGTGGCAATGTCTCAACATTTAGCAAAAATACACCTTTATTGAACATACAGTAACACAAATACTACAAATCCTACAAACAATCAAAAATGAAAAAGGGTCACCACTTATTATTATTTTAATTAAAAAATATAAAGCAAAAAAATATATTTTAGCAGCGGCACTGCGCCGCCACTATTTGTATATAGGGGAAACACTGCATGGACACAGCCTGTCAAATGACTGCATCCCTCAGGATACAGAAACCATTAAAGTAACAGTCTTTGCAGCTGATGACAATAATTCTCTCAATTCGTCAGGCAAAAAGCAACAATCCTGTTCACTTAGTGTCTTCTGCAAACTAAACACATGTAAGAGCCTTCAAGTGGCATTGAATAATATAAGGAACCTGAAGAGCATCCTCAACTAGCCTCATTTATATATGCATGTCAACATCAGTCTGTCAGTGCTATCTAGTGAGCTTGACTGTTAACAAGACCAGTAGCAATTTGTGTATTGACCTGTATTCCCCTCAAAAAACACTAATCATCTACATTTAGAATTCTTCTTAAACATGAATTTGATCCCATTCTAAGGCAATGAATTGTTTAAATCACACAAAAAACTATTTGATACAGATACTTTATGCAACGTTTGCCAGTTTGCCATCTTAACCACATTACGTATTTATTTTTGTTTAACAGATCTAAGATTTTTTTTCTGTACTAGCCGTACGTCAGTTGGTGTGTATGTGGGTGGTGATGGGGGGGGTGGAGGGGTTGGTTTGTGTAGGCTACGGGTCATTAGCAGAGATCAAACTTCCCTAACGAGGGCTCGGTCCTCCAGGGGCGCCCAGGCGTCACACACTGCACTTCCCACGCCAGGCTCTCCCAGCCTGGGGCCTTTCAGGCTGCACACTGCCCCCTGCTGGAGAACAACCACCCCAACATCACACAAAAAAAGAATCACACAAGTTACACAATACAATTTTTCAAGCCCTGCTCAATCGCTATTTGTTGTCTTGCATTAATACTTTTATTTTTCTCTGTATGAGTCTCATTGCAGTTCATGATTTCAACCTACTTTTGTACTTTGCAGCACTTTATATGTTTGCCTTTCTTCTGTGTTCACCTTTGTTCATCTGTCTTCTTTTAGAGGCAAGATCCCACAGAAAGACATCGAGGTGACCTTTCCAGGAATGAGTGGAGACTTCACCAGTGAGAACTTCTCTGCCACCTGGTACCTCATAGAGAACCACACAGGCTCCAGGTAAGTCCTCATGTCATCACCCCCCCTGCAACAAAGTTAGTCAATGCTTAAAATAATTTAAAAAATAATATCAACATAGTGCTAAGTTGTTGGATGTTACAGGGACTGTCTGTGATAAATGCAAATGCAGATCACACTGTTCTTATTGCATAAAAGAGGAAGAGAAAACAATGGTCAAATTACATATCTAAAATTGCAATATCTCGCTTTGCTCACAGTTATGCTATATCATGAATCCTCACCCCTGTGTCATGATATGTATTGTATTGCAAAGTTCTTGCTAATACACAGTCCCACAAAAAAGAGCTCTCGTAAATAATGGGTTTTGTATCACACAATAACCACCAGAGATTGGCTTGCATCATATAGTGTCCTCAAATGTAATAGTGACTAGGCAGAACAGAGATTTAGGACAAATTCCCCGTGGCTTGGCTAAGTGCATTAATGCTGTATAGTGGCGGTATATCCTATATGTTTCTTTTAGAAGCACTTCTTGCTGGCATGTGACATCAGTGGCACGTAAATTAATGTGATGAGGAGACATTCCCTTGTATAACAAGTTGAAAAGAGGTTTATAGATCCTAGAAGAACTCCAATAAGTCCATTAATCAATACGTGGTTATACAACAGGATTTAATTGGCAATCATTTTAATAATTGATCGGTGAAAGCTTCTCTATTTTCTTTATTCTGTATTAGTAAACTGCATATTTTTGTCTTTAGACCATTGGCCAGAAATGCCAAATGTTAAAATGAAAAGTATACAAAATATATGGAGGGCACAAAACTCAAAGCTTTCACGTCCCAGATTACGGCTGAATCTTCACATGGTCTTTTGGCCCCTCACAGAGCAATTAGGTATGTCAACGACAAGGCAGCGTGCTGACCCGGACCCCCCAGCCCAGTTGACTGTCATGTCAGAGCAGAGGAGAGTTATTTTGGACTCTCCTGGTTTCCTCTCCCCCTGCTTAGCCTTCCAGTAACCCAGACCCAAGGATCCAGCATGACCAGGGGCCTCTGTTTGGAGCTCGCAGGGTTACTGTTTCTTCCTGCGGAGGAAACCCCTCTCGGGACACTTACACACGTACTCACATTGGCCAACAAATGTGTGTGTGATTGTGTTTCTACGATAAAAACGTGTGTGCAAAATTCCATCATTGTAATGTAGTGCTGAAGGCATTAGCCGACCAATCGTTTTTAAATTAATCAACATTATTTGAATAATGCTTTATTGTTATCCAGTCAAATTGTGGATTTGTGAGTTCTGGCTTCTTTTTTAAATATGATGAGTTTATGCTTTTTTTCAGTTTAATATTGTAAATTGGAGCAGTTTGTAGATGTGATCTTGGACTCCTGTCATGAGCATTTTCTTAAGTTTATGAGACATTTTATAGACTTAACAGTTGCTCATTTAACTAGAATAATGACGAAATGATTGACAACAATCACAGCTTGTTGGCATTAATATAATGGCGTCATCATTTTTGTTTTCTCAGTTTTGAGCAGCTGAAGCTCGCGGCCAACAATCTGAAAAAGCAGGCGACCAAGAAGAACGAGGGGAGTCTGGCGTATGTGAAAGGAGGCCTCAGTACGTTCTTTGAGGCCCAAGACGCTCTGGCAGGTGAGAGGGATTAACACATTTCTGTGTGCTGTGGAATCGTACCAAATGGCCTGCACAAACTTTTCAAATCATCACTCTTCATCTCTGCTCATAAACAAGCTTTTGATTTCTTGGAAAGCGTGCGTGCGTGCGTGTCCTGGGACTTTTCCCCCTCCACACGCGGTTCAGCAGCGGTTGATTAAAGAGGATAATTTGGCTGCCGTGGGAAAACCCTCCACTTTGTACTATAGTTACACGAGCCAACCTCAACATGGCTAACTCGCGTTACTCAAAATAAGATCAGCTCTCACCTGTCGCACACAATCTCACACACAAACACACATGAGGCCAAAATGATGTCAAGGTAGCCGAGACTGACTGCTGTCGCTCTGCCAGGTACTTCAAATCAATTGTTCGCTTCATCATTCATACTTTTGTCTGTTTACTCTCTCTTCCCGCCATAGCCGCTCAGTTACTTCCCCTTACTATTTATACGTACACTTTTCTGCCTCCATCATTATTATTATTGCTTTCCGTATGTTTGTGCCCCGGTTGGGAGAGAGGCAATGTTTTCATTGTTAGTGGCTGAATCTAAATAAACGGAGCAGCCCAACACAATGCAGGCCAGAGTATTAGGACTGATAGTGGCGATAACAGAGCCAATATGACCAATGGGAACAATGCGCAGTCATTCTCACGTTCAGACTGAGCGTGCCTACTGTGTGCCCACTGCCCCTAATGGGAAATGTACAGTCTCTACAGGATGAGGAAGCAATACAGTATGGATGGACTTAAACGACCTGTGAACCAAGAGTGCATAATGACGCTTCATGCACCCTGTTGACGTTTATATAAAATGGGTAAAATATGCCCCACTTAATTTGCATCGCCTATTTTTTTAATTCGGAACACTTTGAGCTAAACAAGGTGGGGAGACAACCAGTGTTAATTTCGTCAACGAAAACTATGACGAAAATGTTTCGTCAACGACCTTTTTTACATGACTAAGACGAGACGATGACGAGCTAAAAATAGATTCTTGATAATAAAAACTATGACGAAATGTATATTTAGTTTTCATTGACGAGACGAGAGGGGACTAAGGTGTTAATGGTGGAGTATCGGACATTCAAAATGCAGCATATTTCCCCCCAAGTCTCCATCTTGTCTGTCAAAATGCATCTTACGTTTCTAACTTGCAATATCATTATTTCAGCTCTCTTCACTCCAGAAGAGCGATCTCCCTGTGTCTCTCTGTGTGCGGGGGGCGGGGCCTAACAGACGCTGGAGCGGCACACAGAGATCTGCCGGGGACGGAGCGTTCAGAGAGTATGCATTAGAGACACTCTACAAGGCTCGATGTGGACAAAGCTCGTTTGCCATTAGTGTTTTCGCGTAAGCGCGTTGACACGAGCAGTCCGACAAACAGCTGCTCTGTTTCCCCAATTACGAGTAACGTTATCACATCAGGTGCGCAGAGGTGGGAGAAGTACTCAGATCTAGTAGTTAAGTAAAAAAGTACCATAGTGTAGGGATACTCTGTTGCAGTAAAAGTCCTGCATTCAAAATGTTACTCAAGTAAAAGTAGAAAAGTATTCTCATCAAAATATAGTTAGAGTAGCGACAGTAAAAGTAGTCATTGTGCAGATTGGTCCATTTCAGAATAATAGATATGATATGTTTTATAATGATTGATCATGAAAGTGTTCTCAAAGCTGGTAAAGGTGCAGCTAGTTTGAATGACTTTGTATACTGCAGGGTAGCTTGTGGATTTACTCCAGGTGGAACTAAAGTCTGATTTAACACTTGATTATATTTCACATCATTCATCCAAATCTGTAAAGTAACTAAAGGTATTAAATAACTGTAGTGGAGTAGGAGTACTAAGTAGCAAAACATTGAAATACTCCAGTAAAGTACAAGTACCTCAATATTTTACTCAACTACAGTGCAATATAATAACATCATTATATATTTTTTATTTATTTCACATTTAAATAAAGCAATGTTAATTAGGTTTACAAGTTTTTCCCTTTAAAAAAATAGCAAAAAGTACCTATAAGAATACCGTTAAAGTACCGGATCGATAAGCATTATCGATAGGACTAGTAGTACCGTTAAAAACCTTAACGATACCCATCCCTAGATATTACACAAGTAAAGTGTTAAGAGAGTAAAATGTTGATTTACGAATTTCAACATTTGATATGCTTTCCGCTTGTTTTTTCCTTTCATGAGTAAATAGTCTTTGTGGCAACTCAACATAATCACTGGGGGCATTAAAGGCTCTGTCTAACTACGCCAGATACACTAAATGAATGCTAGCCAACTTGCTAGCTCATCAACAATAACGCAACAAACAACACAAAATAGACCTTAACATAAATGAACAGACGCTATGTAAGAACCACAGACTCACTTTATCCACGCCTATCAAACAACTCCCACTTTTCAAAAGTAGTTTCCACTAAAAACATTCTTATATCCAGACCAGCAGCTTGACTTAAAGTTAATGTTTAAACTTCCTGACGGCTGCTTTCTCACCGTGACTCATTACAGCGCTGCAACATCCTTTCTCGGCCAACATTTGGCTCTCAGTCAGAAAAAAAGAAGTGGTGGCCCCAAATGGATAGCTCAAGTGGAGATATTCTGTATACTGTGCATGGTCAGCCAAACCGACATACCAGCCGACACGTTGCTCGAAGCCAGCCAGCGCACTGCCAGGCCTGGTTAGCACAGCTGCTGTCGGAGCAACTGTGAATCCTTTCTTTGTCTCTCAGCGGCCCTTGGCAGGTCTCTGTTGTTATTAGTTATTCCAAATGAACCTCACCGGAGTTGTGAACGTTTTTTTTTTAATTAGCTGTGAAATGTACAGGGTGCTTGTGTGTTCTCTTTGTATGTTAACATTAGCTGCAGTGCTTCCAGCGCCCTCAATCACCATCAAGACATTTCGGTCTCCTCTCCTGTTTATTTTCAATCCCGCTTGCATGTGAGATTTTTATTGATGACCTTAATAGAAGTCTGGAGTTACTTTTTAATGCAAGTGTGCTGCTGCTGGGAAGGTGGAAACAAGGCAGAGAAGCCAAATCGGGGTAAAGAAATGAGGCGTTTAGAAAATATTTAGAGCAAACAGCAGGACTCTGACTTCAGTAATCGTGGGGTTTCCCTACCCCCCTCTATTTCGTGTCCCCACTAATTGCTTCTTAATTGCTCTTAAGTACAGCTAACCAAATCCAACAGAAATAGCGCAAAAAAATCCCATGTGTCTTTCTAATGAACTATGAACTGCAGAACTTTTCATATAACAACCACAAATGTTGTTAATGACAGATCGATCTGTTAGCACATGCAGAAACAAGACTGGGAGTTCGGGCCAACTCTTGATGCTTGGGTTGTATTCTAAAAGCTTCCAAAGGGCCCATTAAAATTGCATTGTAAAGTTGCATGGCCTCAAAAGCTCAGCATCGATATGGAACTAACAGTGCATGCATTTTGTTATTAAGGCAAAGGACCTCATGCCAATCAGCAGACTTATAAGGCAGATCAGTTATCAAGCTATCTGCCTAAATACAGTTTCTTTGTCAATCTCATTTAACAATTCAGTCCTTCTGCTCCATTTATTTGTTTAAAAAAAATGGAAAGGTCGTATACACATCCATAACTTGGATAAAAGACTCAATTTCTGTATAAGCATAGTTGAGGTAGTTTGATGGGTAGAACCCTGATTACAAGTTCATTATATTCTTATTTCATTATAGCTTTTAAGTAAAGTTCAAGATGCACCGTTTGGCCTGTAAAATATACTGTGTTTAAAACTGAGAAAAGCAGGAAATTCTGAATTTCTAGCCATTTTACCTGCCAGGTGTTACTATTTACTGCGGGTAGAAAGTTATCTTGTGGTTACTTAGTCAAATAATGTTTCAAGCAACTATATGTGGAATTCCTGAAATGATTATATCCAGTTGTTCTAGCTAGTTTTGAGTCCACACAGTGTTTTGTAGTGGCCAGATTCTTTCCCCATTGGTTGATATTCTGTCAAATCAAATATTAAAGTTGTTTGCATGAGGGATATTTTTCTGTAAACCCTCCATGTGAACCACCACAGGCTGTTGAAAGAGACGTGCATGGAGCCTCAGTGACACACGGAGCCATGCTGTAGACAGAGCTGATTGACTGACGGACAGTCTGTCAGGGAGTCCAGGGTTGTTTCTACTAAAAATGTTGAAATTTGAGGTTTTTCATTGTTGTGCGAACAGGAAGTCTCCCAGTGATGCAGGAAACAGAACGGCTACCGTGTTCCAAAAATGCCATATTCCCAGGGCCTATTCCCTGAGCCCCCCGGCCCCGGCAGGAGTCAAAACATCTCCAGCTTTAGAATCCAGGGACACTGTATTTTTATTCTTATTCAGTTTTTTTCGTCTTCCCTCAAACGGTTCCAGGAAGTGAAAGCGGGCGCTGCAGCTCTTCCTCAGGTTCGGGCTGCGTGTGTTATCCGGACTCTGACCTGATGTTTAGGTTAGCCGTGACGTCATGGGCCCTCCAGTGTGTGACAGATGCAGAGGACACACAGCTGGCAGCAGGGCAGGGGGGGTATTGCGGAGACGTGAAGCAGACCTGCAGTGTGTGTGTGTGTCTTCCTGTGTGTTCAGCCCTGTCAATCCTGCGCTCTCCCATACACACTCCCACATCTACGTGCCTTTATCTGAACCTGCCGCGTTTTGTACCGGTCGCCGAGCAGCGAGAGGTCCACGAAAAGGCCAGCGCCGTCCGTACTGATTAGCCAATGGCATGTTTGAACAGCGTGTTTTAGGAATACCTCAGTCCCTGCCTTGAGGCTTCTGTCTGTCAGACTGGGCCCACATCTTTATTTACAGAACTCTTCCCCCACCCTTTACTTTGCCTCCCACTCCTTCTGCTGTGTCCAAGCTCTTATAGCATTTATAGAACTGAGAGAAGAAGGAAGGTAGGGACGGGAAAAAAAGAGAAATTTCAGGATTTCTTCTTTTTTTTCTCCCATGTTTCTGTCTCTTAACTTCATTCTTGAGATGTCTACCCGGTGCATATTTGATTCACTCCCCAAGTATGTAGGAGAAGGTCTCCTAAGCCGTCTCCACCTCCCTTCCACTCTGTCAATAAACCCACACTGCAGCTCTCAGCGCCCGGCTGCCCAATACTGCTCACCATTTATTTATTCACTGGGGTAGCCACACCACTGCCTCTTTTCTTTGCTCTCTCTCTGTTTTCTCCCCTCATTCCCTTGTTTTAAAGTCCCTCTCCCGCGTCAAGCTCTTCATGCTAAGTGATGGATACAAGCCTTCAGAGATTTTCTTTCCCCCTCAAGTCATTTTTGGCATCTAGGCCTCCTGCTCTGCTCTCCCAAATGTTATTTTTCAGAGAGTTGAAACATTTTAGATTCTCATTACCTCCAGGTCAAAGGGCTCCAAATGTCCCAAGACCACAAAACCGTGCTGTTAATGGTTCTGCTGAGGTGAATTGATCCAGTACAGTTACCGCTGGGAAGGGGTCACGTCGTTTACTGCGTGGGAACAGGCCGAAGGAGGGGGAGGCTCGGGGGAGGGAGGTTTAGGTTCAATAGCAGCATCTATAGGCGGAGAACCGGCGAGGTTATCTCCCATCTATCACTGGGGTAGGGCCTGTTTATTGTTTTACTTTCGGTTCCTGAAATTGAAAATGTTCCTATCTCAGGAGACCGGATGTGAGTTGCTTTATAGCGTAGAGAACCATTTCCACTTTTTCTTACATTACTTCCTACATCAGCATAATGCTATTCTTTCTCAAGTTTTATTTCCGTGGCTTTAACTGTATATTGTCCATTACAGTCTTTTACAATACAAAATCAAACTGACGTTTGTGTTGCAGCGATCCACCAGAGGCTGGAGTCTGATGGCACAGAGAGAGTGGAGGGATCCATGACCCAACGACTAGAAAACATCCTGAACAGTAAGCATCTTTGATTTAGAGTCAAGCACCACGAGAAATTGTAAATGTACAGTTTCAAGTTTTGATAAGCACCTAAAATCCCCATTTTATGTGTCAATAAATGCATTGATAGGCAATGACAATGAAATGTCTAATGTAGCAAAAGCTGGTTTGATCAAATCCAATTTGAGTTCAGAGGAAATGATAAATTCTGTTATATTTTAGGTTGTTTAATTGTTTTCCAGTCAGATCGAGTTGTATGAAAAATGTAGTATTTAAATGATAAGGAACCCATTATTTATGTCAGTTAAAAAAATAACATAATGTATTAGCAAAGCATGTTATGTTGACAATCACTTATTGTACACTCTTTATCATTTATTTATAACTTCCAAATCATTGCACCCTTTCGGCTATTTTTTTTTAACTTTCAACTAGTTTTTGTTAATGTTAACCAAACATGTTATTTTATTCGCATGATAGAATTCAGAGAGGTACATTTTACAGGTAATTCATTATGATATATTAGGACGACTATTTTAAGAATACAAAACTTTTACATTTGATCAAATAATCTCAACTCAATGCTTACTGGCTTTTTCAGAGCAGCTTAAGTGCATCCTTCAACCGTTCTCAAACTCGCCCCCCTTTCATCATGTCACATCATCATGGGGGGAGGTTTTAATCCCGTTCTCTGTTAAAAATCAGTTTCAGAAGTGAATGGCAGTGCTCTTTTACCATTTGCTGACCATTGAGAATGTTAGTAGGGGGCCATGGAACTTGAGTTCTGGTTATTTTTTTATAAAGTTTAACCCACTAGTGCCAACAGTGTTTGCCCTAGCAGCCTAACATTTGAAATGAAGGTCTGTGTTTGTGTTCATGCACATTGTCTGTGACATCATTGCATTCATAAGCAATTGTTTGCAGTTAAGATTATCAATTATTTAATCCTTTTTGCAAATGAGAAACCCTAAGGTTACATCTTTTGACAATGTTACAGTAAGTCCTTGACATGTTAAATAAAACTCAATGAGCAAAGCGATTATGAGAAGAGACAGTCTTTGTGCTGCAAAGCTTATCACACCATGATTTGCCATCCATGAATTACTCTGTCTATGCCTTTGTAGAGCTTCCCATTTATTACAAGCAGATCCCTCAGCAGATCATGTGTTCCCCCCCTCTCATCTCATACATGATAATGTGACTCCCCTAATGGAGGGTCAATAAGCAGGTCCTTTTCCCGGAGTCTAGTGTAAATAAGCCTTGAGGCCGGACGCAGCTTTCATCCCCAGACTTGCAGTGCCCAGGCCACCGGTCACCCCTAAAAACTCAGCGCCAATCACAAAATAGAATGTAAGTTTGATGACAACTACGATTGGCTAGTGAAAACAATTGAAGAATTCCTCCGTTGGATCCCATGCTGTTATTCCTTCAGGGGTTTTGCTATGGGGGCGGGGTTTGTTATGATTAGAAGAAGTATTTTCTTTTTCTATCTGACGACACATCCAAGGCCACCCACGAAGCCGGTTAGTCGCCCAAAGGTCCCAATAAACTGTCCGACCAGCAGATAGCCGTCGCTTTGTCTTTAGCAGCTCAGCCTCTACTGTGTCAGACACAAAGAGCAGGAAGAAAACCAGAGACTGACATTAAAAGGGAAATGTGGTATCAGCATTTATTTATTTAGTATCCCGGTTTCTCATTTGCTCCTGCTCCTCTGGCTCCCTCTCATTCTTTCGCTCTTTCTGCGTTTCCTCGTAGGAGCGAGCGATACTGCAGATACTCTTTTCCAGGAGGTCTTGGGGCGGAAAGACAAAGCTGACTCCACACGCAATGCTCTCAACGTCCTGCAGCGTTTCAAGTTTCTCTTCAACCTGCCACTCAACATTGAACGCAATATTCAAAAGGTACTATCCACATTAAGGATGGGGGGAAATATGGTTCATGTAAGAAGTAGGATTCACAATTTCCAAAAAAGCTTTTTTCTTAAATGTTTTTTCCTTAAAAGATTCTAATAATTGCAGCTGACTGATAGTAAACCTACACACCAGTATTAGTGTGTAATTCATTGAAAAATCACACAAAATACCAGCGTACAATTTATTTTTGAAATTGAGTTACTGAGATATAAAAAGGCAGCTTGCCTAAGCCTACTAATTGTATAAATAATCAGGCAGCATTTTTATTTATTGTACTAGTTATACTTGAAGTTACTAATAATTAAAAAATACAACAAATATTTAGGTTATAGGTTTTATTATGCAAGTTTAGCACAAAAAAAATGCTTATTTTTCTCATTAGTTTTTTCAAATGTATCAAAAGCTTCATAACCCTATTCACCCTTTAGTCCACTTTGTGCCTTCATTTCCCACACAGTTTTTGTCAGCACACAGCAGACTAGAGTAGATCCTAAAAAAAGGCAACCCTATGTACTGGGTTAATTTTCTCTAGAATTGTGACCCACAATAAACCAATTTGAGTCATTAAAAATCAAAAAATGCATACCCCTAATTCACATACTACACGTATGTACAAATTAATACCAGCTCATGTATAAAAAGAAATATATATATATAGCTTCCCTTTCCTCACCTCTTCAGTTGTAATGGTGTCATTCAAGCTGTGTGTAGTAAGATATCAGATATGATCTTTCGTCAAGAAGGGAAAGCCTTCAGCTCTCTGGGTGGTGGAGGAGGAGGTGATAATGTGTTCTGCAGTCTCAGATCCCCCCCCCCTACTATAGCATACCTTTAGAGCTGGTTATCTCTGAGGCTATTATTATTTTCCTCTTGGTGTTTATGAAACTAATCTTGAGTTAATTTAGCAATCATAACAAACATATAAGTCTTTTAATATATTCCTTTCTTATTATTAAACCAGAGCAATCATCATAAAACCTAATATCTCACATGAGAAGCTTCCCAAGCTTTTATACGTCCATCTGCAAGTGTAACTTCATCTCACTTCACCTCACTTTATTTTAAGTCATTTTTCAGTAAACTGGTGGTTTTACAGCAGATGCATAAATACAATCTAAACATAATCCCAAAAAATCAGGGCCTAGATAAGACACAACAAATATGTAAATAATAAAGCGTCAGTAATATTTGTATATTTTGCTTGTAGCACATATATTGATACAATTAGTAGTGATTACTTCAAAGTGTTTCATACAGTTTTCCCTTTACACGATTGCATCCATCCAGTATGCATATTTGTTTGAGGCGCAGTCGGAAGGCTGTCATCCAGAGGGTAGAGTGAGAGAGGCTTAAATCAAATGTTGTTTCAAGATGAATACGTTGAAATGAAAAAGAAAAAAAGCTGCTTGTGCTGTATTTAATTAACTTTTCTCCCTCAGGGTGATTACGACGTGGTGATCAACGACTATGAGAAAGCCAAATCTCTGTTTGGCCCTACTGAAGTCCCTGTTTTCAAAAAAGGTAAACATGTCATTTGCATTTTTGACTCGACAAATGAATCACATAAAGTGAAAAACAATCTCACAACGGTTTGTTCTGCTGCTACGCTCTAGTGTACGCTGAGGTGGAGACGAAGATCGGAGCTCTGAGGAGCCTCTTGCTGGAGAACCTGCTGCAGACCCCGTCCACGCTGCACGACCAGAAGAGATACATCAGGTCTCTTCACGTCTTCACAACACAGCAACGGCTTTTAATACCATCCGTTTATATTCCTCACAGTTGTGCTCTATTAGTTTTTGCATAATTCATTATATTTATGTGAAACTGGTTTTTAAAACACTATCCGGCAGTTTTTAATTTCTTGACATGTGTCACACCATTTCTAAACACTTCGAGCGGTCTTTGGTCTTGAACTATATTAAGGCGTATTTCTTATCCTCCTTCAATACACTCCGTTCGATTTTTTGGACCTGACATTGTTTACCAGAACTTTGTCCTCCATAACATGTTTCCCTTTACTCTAAATGTTCACTTTTAGCTTTGTGTTGTCCCGTTCTCTTTCTCTGTTTCTATTTTGCTGCGTCTCCCCCCCCCCCTCTATCCTTCTGCCCTCTCATACTTGTGGTATACCCCGATTTATTATTGTTCAGACCAACCTGTCAGGATCACAGAGACCAGTCCTTCACCACACGGCAACATCTTTCATCCTGCTGCGTCAGGCTCGACTCTGAACGCCCACTTCTGTTTACTCTTGCCCTTGATGGTGGGCGCTAGTCTGCATGTGTGTGTTTGTGCCTGTGGGTCTTGCTCAATCTTCTGAAGGATGCCCCCTAATGAGAAACAAATGAGTAGCTGGTTCAGAGGATGACAGTAGAGGGAGCCAGGTGACAGTTTAGTCAGTCATCTGACAGCACACAGGTCACTGAGTGATGCCCACCAAATTAAATCCCGAGGGCCAAGATCTTCCTGGTATTGGTGTTTTGATGACTTCTACTGTACCTATCAGCAATTCATGTATGGAAGACCTGAGGGGCAAATAAATAAATTAGGACCAGTTTAAAAAAGGTTTGCCAAAAAGTTTAATTATTTTCTTTATCTGTAAAACAGTTGAAGAAAAATAAAAGTAAAAAAAAAAGGGACTCATCAGCAAAAATGTTTACCCAGCATAATTGTTTTTAAGTTGCTTTTTTTCATCCTTGAAACCAGGTTGGAAGAAAAGTTTTGCCATGTGAAATTAGTATTTTTTTGTCCGGCTTTATTTGTATGTTTTTGCTGTAAGGCTCATGTTGGCCACAAGAGGCTGTATTGCACCATTGACGGATGTTTTAAATAGGACTAAAAGTCTTCATGTTCTTTCGGGTGAGTTTTAATTTAACTTTAACTCCCTGAACATAAGGAAACTTGCTAACTCAGTATTTTGTCTTTCACCTTTTCACAGAAAAAAAGAAGAAGAAATGTATAAACAATGAGCCTGAAAAAAACCCATCCTCTTTCACCTTTTCTTAAATCATAAATCCAGGAGAAAACAAATACAAAATTGATCACCTGAACTTTTTTTCTTGCCTCACTTGCCTCTCAGGGGTTCCGTATAAAAAAAGGTGGTTTTTTTTCTTTTTCTTTGAATCTAAATGTGTTGTGCATGTCTAGGTACCTGTCGGACCTTCACGCTCCAGGCGACCCAGCGTGGCAGTGCATCTACGCTCAGCACAAGTGGATCCTGCAGCTGATGCAAAACTGCAGGAATGAGTTCATCAGTGGCAAGAGAGGTGAGCAACACACACTCAAATGACTGGCCTTTTTTACACATGAAGATTAAAAGCCCCTAGCATTTCCAATCAAACGGCTGGTGGATGTCATATGAGTCTGGAGGTAGCAGAGAGAAGAGAAATCCAGCTGCTTCTACATCATACTCTCTGCTTGCATTCCCCCTCTCCGTCACCACCCTCCCTCCCCTCCCTCCTCTTCTCCAGGCTTGCATGTTTATTTTTTCATGAATGTATGAATAAGATGAAAGTGAGGGAGCATTGGCTTTGGGTTTCAGGGCTTGACATGTTACTGCACACGCACACATACAAACCCTTTTTCTCTCGCTCACACACAGCTTCACAGATGGATTGGAACAATTAACCCCAATTAAGCCGTTCCTCTGTTAAATCAGCCAGCAGAAAAATGTGAACGTGAAACCGTCAGGGAAGAACAGCGATTCGCAAACTACGCTTACACCACACACACTCTTACACCCGTACTCACACGCCCAGAGACACCCGGACAAACACATTGTGAGTGGGTGGCTGCTTCACATACTGCAGCTGGAACGTAAACATGTCTAATGCTAAGGGTAACAGTGGTTTCCGGGGCTCAGGCTTGATGGATCGGGGGGTTGCTGTGCTCCTAGCCTCTCCACAGCTAAATATCATCCTGATTATCATGTCAGGGATGCCCCCCCCCCCCCCCCCCGGTCTGTCCACTCATGCATTCCACAGCAGCATGTGGCAGGGAGCGAAGTTGCATGCAAAGCAAATGCAGTCAAACTTTTCTAAAAATAGAAATGTCCCTGTAAGGGATTAATAAAGTTTATCTTCTTCTTGTCCTCCTTCTTCTGCTTCTTCTTGCAAAAAATAAGTACCTTTTAATGTTAGTTTATTTACCTTAATACACAAGTAAAAGGCATGTAACCTTATATATAATCACTATTCTATTAACATTACAACTCTGACACTGCATAAACAGCAATGACTGCATAGTCTGCATAGACTGCATGTCATATGTTATGTGATTCATGGCTATTTCCTGATGTGCCACATTTATGGTAAAGCTCTGTTTATGTTCAGACACCTTAAGCGATTTGAAGGGAAAAGGACCTTTTACATTAAAAAACCTGCAGTAAGTGACTGTGTTTGAACGGTCTGTGTTTGAACCTCAACGACCTTAGACTTTCTGCGGTGTTGCCAATGACGTCACGTTACCTCTGCCGCCGAGAGAGGACACTCATCATTGGTACAACCACACGAGGCCACTTTGAGGAAAATGTAAATGTAGGTCGTTTTAAAGTTACCCTGTGAAGATTTGTTCTCATAAATAAACACAATTCTGTTTACATATTGTGTTACTCATCAAAACATCAGCAACAAAATATATCTGCATCCATGTTAGCAGTCTTCTTTTTCTTTGCTTTTCGCTGGCGTCTTGAGTTTCTTGGTTTGATAAAGACGACAATTGTCCATAAGTGGAATAACGCAAAATGTCAGGTCACTTGCATGCTTGTGCAGAAAAGTGACTCTGATCATTTGAGAGAACTGGACACCATGTTCTAAGATGAAAATAAGCATTTGCCAGACTTCCATCTGTTGAGTTACATTGAGCATGCTCCTCTCTGTTGGCTGACTGAATGGCTCCGTAACAGCCTGGCACTGGCTGGATGGTGTGGGCCTTTATAGGGCCAATTTGTGGCTCATCAGGCTGATTACCCTGAAACAGAGAGCCAGCGAGCATAAAGACCCCTAGTGGAATTGGAGGGGTTGTCAAGGCACAAGAAACTCATTTTTCCGGATATTGAAATTGTTTTAAATGTCCCCTATAATACTCTTTTTTCATCAATATAATGTAGTTCTCAATTTCTGATTGGCTGGGCGTGCAAACCACGGCCCGTAAAACTCAGAAAAGTTTTGTGAAGCCGCCATTGTATTTGCTGGCATTAGCATTATTAGCATTAGCCCAGCGCACAAACGCAGCGAAACTAACTTATGGCAACACAAAAGAAAACATGGGAGAGGTGGAGATGAGGAGGTGTCGACGAGGAGGTGTCGACGAGGAGGTGTTCTGGCGATTTACTCGGAAGGCCTCAGTAGAAGCTGCTGGGACTCCCAGCAGCTTCTACTGAAGCCAGTCCCCAAATCCGGGTCTTCCGGCCGGGGACTTCGGGTGGCAGTATACGCCATGAAAAAGTGGATATTGCATAATAGGCGACCTTTAACTTCTGTCTGCTGATAACTTAAAAAGTAATTTCTTGTGATGCTTGACTAAGGCTCATTCATGGGGGACTTGGCGAGTATTGCACACATAATAGCAACAAGACAGCACAACTATTGGCCAAAAAGTCCCAAAAGTGTTTAAACAATTGAGCAACACTGTTGCCTTTCTGGTCAGGACTATTTTCATCCACATGAAGGCAAAACATAAACACGTAAGGTTTCCCATGTTCATTTCTACTCTTGTCATAATTTTCCCGCAGCCAGCTGTCTCCTGTCCCCTCTGCTGTCACACCTCACAGAGAGCCCCTCTATTTCCCCTCTCACACACACACACACACACACACACACACACACACACACACACACACACACACACACACACACACACACACACACACACACACACACACACACACACACACACACACACACACCTGGTAGCTATTTACCATCCGCTGCTCACCTCTCGTGTGTGTGTGTGTGTGTGTGTGTGTGTGTGTGTGTGTGTGTGTGTGTGTGTGTGTGTGTGTGTGTNTTGAAGCATCCTGGGCATCCATAACACCTCAGCAATGCCACAGGCTGATTGCCTCCATGCCACGCCGCATTGATGCAGTAATCCGTGCAAAAGGATTCCCAACCAAGTACTGAGTGCATTAATGGACATTTTCAAATGTTTGATTGTGTTTTGCTGTTATAAATCTTTTTTTTTTACTTGGTCTGAGGAACTATTCTAATTTTTTGAGATAGGATTTTTGAGTTTTCTTAAGCTGTATGCCATAATCAGCAATATTAAAATAATAAAAGGCTTGCAATATTTCAGTTGATTTGTAATGAATCCAGAATGTATGACATTTTTGTTTTTTTAATTGCATTACAGAAAATAAAGAACTTTATCACAATATTCTAATTTTCTGAGACAGTCCTGTATATATACATATTTTTTTATTATGTACAATTGTCGGTCTTATCTCCCGATGAGATCCAGGCAACGCCCCTGCAGATCATTATCAAACAATTTGCAGTTTTTCCAACTACATAGATTATTTCATGCATCTGTTTTACTGCAAAAAAAGTATTTGCACATACATAAATTGTAATATATATCTTACTATAACAAACTTTTATGTAGTTGTAAGAAGATGTAAGTGCTTATACATGTATTTGATAATAACTATTCCTATGGGCAACAATCATTTTAGGCTGGTGTATGAACAGATAATAAATAGAAATATAGCTTTAATAATAAAAATGTATCTTTGCTGGATAAGTAATAACTGTTTTCAACTACTATAGACCAATCGTCACTTATTTAATCTGCTTATGATCACATTAAGATACAAATTACCATTTCCTTTTTAAGATAATGGTTAGACACGCAAAATAGGTTTAGTATTTCTCAAGAAAGTGATCCAGATAAATGACTGCTTTGTACGTGTTTCTTGCTGATCTTTTTCATGTCTGCTCGTTTTGTCGCAGATGCATAAATTCAACGAAAAACAGTCAATAACAGTAACTGTGAGCTCAACCTAAAAGTATGTGTCACATTTCTCCATTCCTTTTAATTACCCACTCATCAAGACGGATCAAAGTTTAAAGTATGTTTTGAAGGTATGGAGACCTGCAGAACCAAACAATAAAAAAAACTCCCCCTTCTCACCTCTGTTACTGTAAACAGAAAGCGGATAAGGCTTTGGGCTTTGAAATTATTTTGTGAATGAATCTGTGGGAGGGCAGAGAGCTAAGTTTAGACCTCAGAGAATCAAAACAACTGCTTTCTGCCATGCACGGCCTTCCCCTAAACGCAGATGGGAAACCAAGACAGAGAAAAGGTCTGTGGGGCATGAATGTAGACAATAACACAAAGTTGTACACCTTAAATGTAAAAGGTGGTGCATTTACATTCTGAAGTGGAGATCAAATGGGTCAACAGCAAGTCCAACTCCTCCCAAGATAAACTCATTTCTTACTCTAAGTCTCTTTTGTGAGGTGTGGGCGTGCCGCTGTCTGTCTCCTCTGCCTCAGTGACTAAACCTACCGCAACCGTAAGTCATTACACCCACCACCATTATCACACTTTCTGTTGCCACCATCTTCATCCTGGATCCAATTACACCCTGTTCTGGTGAGCTTACTGCCTGAATAACGGCTTTATCACAACTCCTCCACCCTGCACACGCCCTGTCCTCTTCCAGAAAGCATGAGTTAACCGGCGAGCCTGAGCTCCAGAGATGAATGGGTTCAAGGCTCTAGTTTGAACCGAGGTGCACACAGACCAACTGTCTGCAAATATGCACTGATACAAAATGGTTTTTCAGGGTTGTCTCATCATAAAAGAAAGAGAACCACTCTCACATAATAACTAGAACATGAACACATGTAATGTAATGCAATATGTTGCGTGCCACACACCCCTAGCTCAACAGAATCGTTAAATGAAGAGCAATTTGAAGACAACGACCAATTAATGCTGAAAATAGTTTTTTATAAACAATGATTTGTGAGGAAGTTAAAGAGGTCATAATTCCCTCTTTAACACCTGTGAAAACTGTTAATTCAAGTTCCTCCCAAAATTAGAAATGTATCAAAATTACATTTAAACACATCATAATAACACTATATATTTTACCTTTGACAAGTCATTTTAAAGACGCGCTATAATGCTTATTGGGGTCTTCCCTTACTGTAGTGTTTTATTTAGGATTTAGTGCATGTAAATGGTCTAACATCTCAAAGTTCCCTCCATGAGGAGTTTCTCTCCCACACACTCTCCCTGCCTGAAAGGCCTCCATTGGACTCCTTTATTTACTTCTGTAACATAATGACATCACTGTGTAACGCTCACACTTCTGGCTAGTGCTCCAACACCTTGTATGTGAGGCTAAAGGGGTCGGGAACCCGCGGCTCTTTAAGCCCTCTACTCTGGCTCCCTTGAGTTTTGACATAAATAAGAAGGAAATAAAATAAAAGTATTTGTAGGACTATTTATATTTTGTTGCATGGTTGAAAATGTTTCGTATCTTGTATTTTGAGGTGATACTGTGACACATAAATAAAAAACAAAACGGTTTTAATTAGGTCAACGAAAATATGCGTCACATCCTGCTACGGTCCCGCGCGAGCGCCTTTTCTTGCAGGCGAATAACCTGACCCCCGGCTCGATGAGCGAACTATGGATAAATCAAAGAACAGTATCAGAGGAACACAGGATTTAATTCTGCGTGGACAGTTATATGTTTCACAGCAAACGATGCTGGCTTACCGGTATGTTTGATATGTAGAGAGAAGTTGTTAAAGGTGCTGCAGCCATTACGTATCGAGGAGAAAAACGGAAGAGAAAGACAGCTGATAATTCAATCAGTTAACTATTTTTAGGGTGCAGCTACTATATGTGTTTGATTTGTTTCAAAGTGGGTCAATTTTAATTGTATTTTTTTCTTTCAAATGTGCAGAGGACTAGCCAAGTGCTGAGTTTAATTTATTTTAAAGTAGGCCTGTGCATTTCTTTTTCTTCTCCTTATAAGAGTTCTTTGTTTCTTATTAGAGGTTAACAGTTTTATAATGTAATAAATAATAAATGCAAAAAAACTGTAGTTTTTGTCTATGATATAACAATAAATACAACTTTATAAGCTATCAAATATGTTTTGCGGCTCCAGACAAAACAAATTGTTGGAAAAGGGGACAAAATAGCTCTTTTGGTCAAAAAGTTGCAGACCCCTGTGATAGGCTAAGGGGTGGGACATCTCTTAGCGGTTGACCAATCACAGCAGAGCCGGCCAGCTAACCAATCAGAGCAGACTGGGCTCTGGTTTCAGACAGAGGGTGAAAAGAGGTGCTTTTTGAACATTAAAGCATGTTAACATGTCACAGTATGGGCATATTATGTCCTCTATCGAATAGAGAGAATTCCACAGGTTTGTTGTTTACAATGTTGTGTTCAGAGATAGAATATGGGGTGTCTCCTGGACGCGCTGATAGTGAGTTTACTGCATTCAGTTTTCTATTGTCCCGGTGAAGATTGGACTGGGCCGTAGAAGACCAAGAAAAGTAATTTTTTTTAATTACGTTGTTTTGTTTCTCGTGAAGTCCAAACTTGCGGAGGCTTTGCACTATAGCAATACAACCGGAAGACATAACATTTGTCACCTTAGTGTCACGCACACCTTTGCCCTGGTAACACTAAGGGGATTTTAAACCAGGCTTGATCCGCAGATAAAGACTGTCAGAAATGGTCAGAAGAAAACAATGTTTTAACCATATTTTTTGTATTTATTGGGTATTGGAGATGGCACGGTATAAAGCATCAACATCAACTTTTAATCTTAGAAAAAATATTTCAGTCTGAGAGACGGTGACTCCATCATGGTTACAGTCTATAACTTTCTCGAAACTACCTAGTTAGCCTCTTGCACACTCCCTGTTGAGTAGCCCTATGTGATTAGCATAACCAGCCAGACTGGGACTGTCCTACACAGTAACAATGAAATCAACTCATTTCGTGTCTTTGCGATTAGATGAACATTGGTGAAGCAGAAGTAGGAAGTGACACCGAAATAGAGCGATGAGTAAACCAGTGAAGTGATCAGTGAAAAGAAACTGCCATAGTTCATTAGCTGATCACACAGAGATAAGATAAGGAAAAGTGCCAGATAGAGTGAAAGGAGTTTATCTTTTAACAGGCTGGATGCAGGAGGGCTGGAAGCAGGTGAGCTGGAGCTGCATGCTGCTCTTAAACTTGTTCAGCAGCTCTTCCAACAACCTGGTGGGAGAAATAAAAACATGTTAAAGTAATCTTTAAAGCACAAAAAAATATGAAAATGTTATGAGTAACCCACTTCTTATCGGCTCCGCTGTGTAGCTGAGGAAGGACGTCCAAAGCCAGTTTGAAGCTGGCACTAGAAACAAGATGCCCAGTTGAAAAATGATAAGAAAACAACACATTGATGAACAAGGGAAAGCAAAAAATACAGTTGTAAGTCTAAGCATGCACACACCTCCCCACATGTATGCACACACACACATATGGGGACACCACAGTGCGTGCACACAGCAGAACCAGATTACTTTCACTTCCTTTCCATAGCCCACCAAGTAACATAAATAGGGATTGTAGTGAGGGATGTGCGACTGCTAAGATTTATGTGTGTGACACTCGCTGCCATAAATCACTGGGCAAATGTGAACGGGTGTGTGTGTGTTTAACTTACTTGCTTTCAGAGTTTAGGTAGGCACCAATGGCGTCTCTCAGAGCACAGAGTTCAAGACGAGCCTGAAGGGGTTATAAAAAAAAAGAAGAAAGAAAATCAAATGAACGTCTAACTGTCAGCAGTTGGCAGCTTGAAGTGAAATATGGCATTATCAGGAACGACATGGTAAATCCCCCAACCAGTGTGATGGTCCACTTATGAGTCAGGGTCGTACTATGAGTGATAAACGGCTCTATAAATGTGTGTGTGTGTGTGTGTGTGTGTGTGTGTGTGTGTGTGTGTGTGTGTGTGTGTGTGTGTGTGTGTGTGTGTGTGTGTGTGTGTGTGCGGTGTACCTGCAGGGCTCCGTTCTTGCTGAAGGATGATACACATTGCATAAGACGACACATCTCATCCGCAACTGACTCGACAATTTTAGAAAGAACCCGAGGAACCAGATCCTTAGACACGGTGAAGACCTGAGAAAGGTTAAAGCAGGGAAACTGCTGGTTAGCACAGGGTTTGATCAAAGTAGAATCAACAAGACAAGGTTGTATTTACCTCAGCATGAACTGTGATGATGCTGACCAGAGCTTCCTTCAGGTAGTTCCTTACACCTGAGGCAGAAAAGGGCAAAACATGAACATAAATCCCGATACAAGGGAGGATATTATGCTAAAAGCTAACTGGACGCAAGTTCATATCACCATGCAGATACACATTAGGCTTAAACCCAGAAAATGGGGGAAAGTTAGCAAGTCAAAGAACTGAGTGTCAATCTTCAGGCACATCTACAGTAAGAGATCCAAGGTCGAAATGTCAAAAATAAATAGTGTAATTTTACATGTGTAAATTGTAGGGCTGTCAAGTTAACGCGTTAATAACGCAAAACATTTTTAACGCCACTATTTATTTTAACGTGCGGTTAACGCATGTGTATTTGTCCTCGGCCCGCCCCGTAGTTTCAGAGCCCAAAGGCTTGACGTTGTTGTTGTTGTTAGTTGGATGGTGGGAGATTCTAGCGAGAGATATGGATACAAAAAAATTTGTTTTAAACAGCAAGCCAAGCACACAGCTGATGCTGACAGCCCCGCCCCTACCGCTCGCTTGCGGCAGACCACGCTTGAAAGTTTGCCGGGGAGACGCCGGGGTCTACAGCTTAACATTGTGGAGGAAGAGGGGCTGCGTTAGATAATTCGGATCGCATCCAACGTGTCGACTGCACATCACAGAGCATTATTTTGACCCACAGTGGGAACTTCAGTCTCATGCTTTGACTGTTATGAAGACAGAGGAGCTGCATTTCGCCGACAACTGTAAACAGGCTTGTCTGTTAGAGCAACTGGCTCAGTGTAGAGAAGTAGACAGGGTTGGGAGAGAGAGAGAGAGAGAGAGAGAGAGGTTCCAGGTTGTTGTGTTGAGAATATTCAGGAGAATATTTGTCATTGTTCCAATGATAATAAACAAATATTTGCATAAAGCATATTTGTCGACTCATATGTTGATAAGAGTATTAAAAACTTGAAAAATATTCCTCTAAGGAACTTTTAGAACAGATAAAAAATGTGCGATTAATTTGCGATTAATCGCGATTAACTATGGACATCATGCGATTAATCCCGATTAAATATTTTAATCGACTGACAGCCCTAGTAAATTGATGACTACAGCATGTGTTTTGCCCTTTCAGGATGATTCCTAGCTGTGATTGAGGGCATAAATTCAGTTCTGCCGCTCCTGGCCGTTTGTTGCTTTGGTGAAAGGATTTTCCTGACATTTGGATATCTCAAAGTAAAAGGTTTCAAAGAAAGTGATACCAAAACGCAGGACAAGAGTTTTTCTCCCACATTAAAAATGTGCATACGGGAAAACCCAATAACCGAGTGGTTAGTGCGGACGCCATATCGAATGGCCCGATCAGCAGGTGTCGAGTTTGACTTCTCGCTGGTGAGACCTTAAGCTGTGAATCATTCCCCGACTCTCTCTCCACTATCACTGACAAATAAAGGCATACATTTTTGTATTTCTGATTTTCATTAGCGTTAAAAACACAAACAGATGTTGTGCTTCTACGGTGACATGTTTCCATGCTTCAATGTTCAAAAAGGCCTTTATCTTTCTCATACTGCCTTTGCTGCAGCACCTCTTTTCACCCTCTGTCTGAAACCAGAGCCCAGTCTGCTCTGATTGGTTAGCTTTCCGGCTCTGTTGTGATTGGTCACAAGTGTTGGAGAGAAACTCCCTCTGGATAGAACTTTTACATTTGAGCCTTTGCAGACTATTTACAGGCACACAAACCTACATAACAAACTACAGGAAAGGGAAAACCCCAAGATGCATAATTGGGCCCCTTTAAAATCAAACATTGTTTCTCTCTACTTTATTATACCAATTTCAAAATATTCGGATTAGGTAAAAAATATTTAATTACTCATTTGATTCAGGGAGAAGAATTTCGTTGTCCACACTGAAAGTAACTTATAATGTTTTCTACCGCACTTTAGGCAAAATAAGGCAATGCAGTCGGCCCACACCACTTTCATGTTTCATTTTACTAGATAACATCTGGTATTGTATTGTATATACTGAATACGTACGTGTGAATATACAACAGTACGTGGCGAATGGAAGTGGTTGTTCAGAGAAATCTTCAAAGATTTACTGATTAACGATATTTATCAGAAACATTGACGCCACATTCATTCATGATAGAAAGGTTACTCAGGGGGGGATGTTGTTATTATTTTGTATTGCTTCATGGTATGTTTGCCTCTGAAAAGAGTGATAAGCTGCACGCAAAGATCAAGATAATGCAAATAAATGGAACTGGAAGTGTATTATTATGACTTTAGTCTGTTCTGTGAGAAAAATATTAAAATCTAACATTTAATACCCTCTAACAACCAGAAGCAACAACAGACCGAAAGTAGTGAAACTGGATTTTGAATGCCTTGCTGCAGCACCCACACACCAAATGCAACAAGTGAAAGTATCATATCCTAGAACTGCGGTTTGGATTCCAAATGTTCCTGTTTCACATGCGGCCCAAACACACACCAGCAGGAACAAACCAGAGCCAACCCTACTTTCGTTCATTACAGCCTTTTGTGTGATGATCTGCTGCCCACCTAGAAACACTCACACATTGCTATTGTTGCCTCACATCCTGTGCTAAGGTAAACCACACATACACATTTAAGTTTCACCTGGGTTTGCTGCATCTGATGAGAACAAGTCAAACTCATGTGCACTCCCACAGCACGACACAAAGGCCAGGAGATGTTTAGGGGGACCAGCAGAGAGATCTCAGGGGTGTTTACAGTAAGCCATCAAAGAGCCGTACTTTACACACGACACACAACAACCACAACCACAACAAAAAGGTCAAACCAGAGACATCAGGTTCTCATCCCACAGGAGTGCTAATTTCTGAGATTAATGGGGTCAGATAGTGGTTGCCGCCGGGGATTTTCCCTGTCATCTCAGACGCTCCAGGTTTTATCATGGTGGTGCAGTACCTGTAGGTGTTTGGCAGTCCCTCCAGTCAAAGTACCCAGCGTAGATCCCCGGCTCCAGAGAGCCAGCGATCGGGTCGGCACGTCTCTCGATGTAAGCCTCAAACAGTTTTCTGTCCAGCCCTCGGACTGCGTCCATACTCACCTGGAACACCAAGAAAAAGTAGTGTTACTTAAACAAAGTGGAGATATACAAGTACACAATGTATCTTTATGGGGGGCAGTATCTCAGACTGTATGGTGGTCAGTTCAAATCCCAATCGGACCGAGTATAGAGAGTGGAATGCTAAATGGAGAGGTGCTAGTTTGTGTCCTTGAGCAAGGCACCACCTTCTCTGGGCGCCTCCCCCTCGTGTGGACACCTCTCCAATAATGGGTTTAGGTCCTGTTTTTGCCTATGTGTATTTTGGGCCAATGTGTGTGATGTGTAAATTGAATTTCCCCTCTGGGATTAAGATTAATATTAGTGTATGTCTCATTATTTGTATCGCCAAGTTGAAGCAGGCGATAAAACTGTAGGAATAAATATATACCTCATAATCGATCTCATATGATTATCGTTGTGGTCTTACATGTCTTAAGAAGTATTGTGCACATCTGTCGACATATAACAGATGTGCGTGTATGGCTTGATATGATATATTAAAAACTAGAAGGGCAACAAAGGTAAACCAAGCGAAAAATTAATTAGTGTTTCTCTCTTCTAAAAACTAAAAGCGTTCCCTTTTTTGTCCCGAGCCACAAACCTATACTAAGTTTCATAAAAATCGAGCGGATATTTTTTCGGTAAAACTGGTGTTCAACAGACAAACAAACCTACGGAATAAGTCTATACTTCCAGTTGGGATATAGATGGGTTGGTAAAAGTGACTTAGGACTTCTTTAGGACACACACACATTTATAGAGCCTTAGCTCTCTCATTTACCTACTCTTCGACTAAAGCATTCTTACTCACAATATGACAAATGTATCTAAAAAGAATCATATAAAAATAAAAATAAAATGTGAATGCTCAACCATGAACCACCCAAAATGTGTAAAAAAATATGTTTTATTTGTGTTTTTGATTGTTGAATTAACATCTGTATCTGATTGGAATTAGAATAATCTTTGTCATGTTTTGGTAACATCATCTCAATAACATTGACTTGTGCCTATGCATTGACTTGTGCCTATGCAACGAGAGGTGCATAACCTTCATGTCAAATGGAACTGCTTTAATGCTGCCTTTATTTATAGAGTTAATTGCACCATACAGTGAGGCAGCTGTGTGATAGATGCATGATGGGAAATGTTATTTTTAAAACCTCTGTTTAATTAAAACTAATATCAGAATTTCTAAATAATATCTTGTTCTCTAAATACTAATAAATGCTCTCTACACCAATACATAATTGAATCTTTCAAAGAAATCGAGTTAACCGGTTATTACTGGAAAACTAACCTAACTCTTCTTTGCTTTGTGAATCAGCCATTAGTCATTGTGAGAGCGTGTGAAGAAAAGAAAGGAGTGCAAATGCAGAAGTGAGCTTCTAAGACAATGACCTTTACTTTTTTTTTTTTTAAGAAAAGAGTCATACCTTCAGGGTCCCTTTGATGTCAATGACAAGCCGACACACTTCTCATCAGCATCATGACACACAATGAGGACTCTATTGGTAAGAAACAGAGTTTTAACTGACCTGTGTGATCTTCTCGGTGCCTGTCAGGCCGTGTTTCTCAAAGTAGTTAGCCAGGTTCAGGAAGGTGTGTTTCTCCAGGTAATGGCAGTTACTGAGGATGATCAGTAGACGCTGCTCCTATACACACAAAACACATGTTTCTACTTTAATACTTGCAAGGACTCTCATAAAGAATTTCCCAAATTGGGATAATAAAGTATCTATCTGTCTATCTGTCTATCTATCTATCTATCTATCTATCTATCTATCTATCTATCTATCTATCACAGCCCCTGACTTTAACCATCACAACTACATGCACAACCAAAACCCTAAATCTAACTCTAAGTCTAACCTTACCCTTAAATGACGAGCACAAGAACATTTCTTTTGCTATTTCCTAATGTATCTAGTCTAAAATGACATAATTTCATGATTCTCTTTGAAAATCATAAAACACAGTCCACACCTATTCCACCCACATTCCCCCCATGTTGCATACAGCATGTGTTACAGCCATATTACACCCATATTGCACCCATGTTACACACATATTGCATTGTTTTACACCAATAGAGCTCGTTATTACACCGTTATTACATTCATTGCCTGATAATCAACTTCGTGAAAATGTTTAAAATAATTAAACAGAATCCCCCAGGATACAGTAACTATTGAACAGCCCTTTGAAGGAGAGAGGATGTCCTTCTTTTCCTTAAATGTCCTCAACTTTATATAAAATATGTACCAATTTCCAACTCAAAATATACCCACTTAACGAGAATGTCTTTACTTTCCAAAAATGTCCTTACTTTTATAAGTGTCCTTAACTGACTAAAATGGACTGATTTTGCAAAAACGTTCTAACATTTTTAAACTTTCTCAATACTAAAATGCAATCACTTTGAAAAAAATGCCTTCTTTTTGCAAAAATATCCTCAATTCCCCAAATCCCCTAAAATGTTTTATATTATTCATGTTTCGAATGGTCCAAATGCGCATGGTCTAAATTGGTACTCGCGAACATACAGCATAACGCAGACACACGATAATCCATACAAAAGATTAGACACGATCAATCGATCACTGAAAAGAGTGACAACTGATCTGTTTTGAAAGCCACAAATCATGTTTGCATTTGAAGCCAGTTATTTTGAATCTTTAGCAAAACTACAGACGAGATAGGAGACTTTGATGGGCGTAAACTGATCACTTTCTAGTAATTCTCTGCGATTGTATGCGAAGGTTTCAAGTAGCTAAACAATAGATATCATATCATGATTGACACCTCTCTGGTCAGCCGCACTTATTCGATTCTGTCTGTCTTACCCTTGCTTGGGCAGGGGAAACCCCAAACGCACCTCGCTCCATTTCCCTTTACCAGAAGCACTCTACGCCCCGCTCTTCCTCCTACTCCTCGCCCTCCCCTCCTTTTTAACCCCCTTCACTAACATCTCAAAGTAGTTACAGGAAATGAGGACGTATAGGCTTCTTGTCCACAACCAGGAAACAGCCTGATAACATTTGGTGGTTTGAGTGAGACACTCGTTGGTCCTGTTGTGTAAAGGAGAGCGGGCCCACGCTTTGGTGACGCTGCCAGATGTGGGATTTCAGGTGTATTAACCCCAAACAGTTTAAAGGAAATAATAAAAAACCCATCACGCTTACAGATGTTGGGCTGAAGCCCTCGTGAATTCCAGAAAAACGAACCGGCGAGGAGAGGTCCACTGAAATGTTGCTGCACACACAGAAAATATTTATTCAACATGTTTTCAGAGTCAAGCACACTATAATATATCCTCCCAATACTTACTGAGATGCATCAATATCTCCATCACTTTTAGTGCTCAGGTGCTCCAAGCAGTTTATGAAAACCTGCATGGAAAATAAACAGAATTATGAAAAATAGGTGCCATACTCATGTCTTACTGTAGGCGATAGAGTAAGAGGTGTTTCCATAGATACCGGATATTACTGGTAAGATGTAATAGTTGCATGGTGCATTTACACTGTGAAAACAATAGTGTACTACATGTCACACTGTGTTTGTCGAATATGTTCGTAGACAATTCCATAACCCAGAACAATTTGCAAGACAGGTATTTACACAGTTATAATACTCAATCCAATGTCTTTCTATTGGAAAATTGTATATACTTGCTCCTAGTGTCAATCTCAATTTGTATTCTTACACTTGCCGCTAACGTTAATTTTTAAATGTTATTATATTGTATCTTATTGTATCTTTCTGTCGGTCTATCGGTCTATCTATCTATCTATCTGTGAAAACATGTTGTGAATTTTGGAAATGATTACATCTACCTTCGACTTTTGGACTTCAAGACACTCTGGAAATGATCTAACAAGTCAGAAGCACATTTTTAAGTGCTTCTGCTATTTTCTTTAATGCATTGACAGCCACATATGTAATTACCGTAATGTTCTCTCAAGTGGCCCATGATTACACAGTACGAATAAGAGCTACAAGTTGGTAGACTGCATAGCAGGCTTTCAGGTTGGCTTCACGTCATTTATGTGATGGTGAAAACCTCCATGATTTAACCATATTTGTTGTTGTTTGCTGCTGATAGATCTTACCTTCATGATGCCCACACTGAGCTCTGTGGCCTGATCCTGGACCTGGTCTATCTGCAGCACCTGAACACAACACAGTGAGGCACATCAGGAGAGTGCTAGTATCCTCTTCAAGATACTTAAAAATCAGACAATTGTTTGAGTGTTTTATTGGCATGTTAAGCAATGTGATCTGCTATCCCTATTTTTTAATTGTCCCTATAACAGAGCAGTATCATGACTGTTTCTTTGTCAGAGCACAGTCTCCTTAGGTTGCTTTGCAGTTTCTTTATTAATTATAGGACATTGGTGACTCAAATCATAATCAGGACTGCTTTGCCCACTGATCATTCTCCATCTGAGGGAACTAGACGGGCACCTAAAGATTAATGACTGCCACAAATGCAAATACTAAAGATACAATCAGAGCTTGTTTGCAGTTACATCTCCTTAAATACAGCTGCAGTCGGGATCGCAGAGGATTAAATTGAGCAGACTTGACAATGTTATCGCTTCCGTTATTCATTCTCTTCTTCGACCCATGCTCAGTGGAGCAACGGAGCAGACATATTGAGTATGAGCTATTCAAAGTGTGATAGAAACAAATGATTATGTTTACATTCATAAACAAAGATTCAATGATAACCAATGAGTTACTTGAGTTAATAATAAATACTTGATAGTATTTGCTTGCTGATTGCAGATGATTTCCTCACATTCATTTCTCCTTGTTTGATCTCCATCGGCTCTTTGAGGGACAGCAGCATCAGGATCATGCACTGCTCAAACTGAGAAGGCTGCAAAAAAACATGAGAGAACATCGACATAGTTTACAAAAACTGACTCCTGAGAAGAGGCTTACATTTTAATCTGCATGCTAAGTAAGGATGCAAATACATTATGTGGAAATAAAGTGAAAAACTGAAGAAACACAAATGATATTTTCTTTAATCGTCAGATAGAATGCTCTACTAGACACTCACATTTTGGAAATGTCATGTTTTTGAACAGAAAAGGAACTAACAAAGCAGCTGAATAGAAATTGAATTGTGTTTTTAAATGTGTATCCAACATGTAGATAACTTGAGTATGTATTTTATATATTATTATGAATCTGCTTTATGCATCCTTACCAGGCTGGTAATTCCCTCATTATCCACGACCCAGTCCTCCTTCTCAGCGAGCCTCTTGACATCTGACACACAAAAAGCACAGATATAAAAATGAATATGAAAAATTACTAAAAATGTCTCCAGATAGAATTTTTTTTTTAAATATATGATTGCTTTCACAAAGGGACAATAGAATCAAAACATTTGAATTTATTTTCTGAGTGAAAACCACCAGATGATATCAAAATAAAACGTTTCTTGACAACACCACAATTGGATGAGTGTGTGCGGAAAGTTAAGTGAAAACCAGTCACTCTTCTCAAAATGACCATGACCAACCACAAGTGAAACCGAGCATGTCTGGTTTTAGTCTCATAACACTTTCTCCGTTACAATCCTGGAAGTTGTGTGAGGTAAAGGTGACAGTTAAAGTCAATGACCTCCAAATACTCCAAATAGAGGAAGACAGCAAGGACAGATCTGTGTGGGTTTTTGCAGAAGAAGATCGATTATATAAATCTTCAGTTTGGACCGTGTCCCAATTCAAAACATCCAAATATTTGATACAGTGTTTACTTTATATATAATAATACATACTAATGGTTAAACATGTACAGCTTTTTCGCTGACACTAATGTGCTCCACCATTCTGTGCAAACAGGACATAATACAAAACATACATCAACCAAATAGTGACTTCAGTATGACACAGGCATTACACTTCGCAAAAGAGAGCTCCAAGTGTTCCTAAAAAAACACATTTATTCTTTAGTTTCCCAAGACCCTCTTGTTTTAACTGTGGTCAACATTTATCCATCCAGTTTTGAGTTTTCTAGTGAATTAGTAGGTTGAGTATAATTTGGACAAAGCTCTTGTTTTTTATTGTTACGTTTCTATTTTAAAAACAAAAGCCCAATGAATAGAGCAATTAAATTGTTTTCATGTAGTGTTTAAGCACTTTTTACAAACTAACATGATATAGGTGCACAATCAGCTGCTTTTGTGCTTATATGTAGAATAGAATAATATGGAATACAAACAAAAAGTGTTTTTTTATACTGTCATTAATAATGATCAGAAATAAAAGGAAATAAAAACCAGCGATAAGGACATTTAAAAGAAATGCTATTGGTGCATCTCCAAACATGACATGCGCATCAGGTCATTACTGATCATTTCAAAAATCGTGTTAGTTTTCATGAGGATCACCAACCATCTTTGTTAGAGCCACTTTTACTTTAAGATCATTATGGTTTGAATATTTGGCTTATTAATATAAGGCTTTAGATTAAACTATTTATTTTTTGTAAATTACACTAGGGTTTAAAAGATGTTAATTTAGATGATCAATAAGTTCATTCAAGTTTCCCTTTTTAGCTGTGAAATGTGCGCTGTCAGGGAGGATATGCCATGCATGTCTATATATGGCAGGACACATTTCATATCCTCTGCTATCCATCACTGTTCCAGCTCGACCAGCCTCCCTTACCCTCAGTGGTGTGCAGCAGAGTCACAATGAGGCAGTGGACCCTCAGATCCAGCAGCAGATCCTGGATCACCTGCAGCAGGTCGTTAGGGATCTCCAGAGCAGACATGGCCTCGTGACAAGCCCTGGACGAGAGACAAGAGAGGCAACAGAGAGGGGTCTTTAAATGGTGCGAGGGGCATGAGGTTAGAAATACTCCTGCATCTAACCATGTGAAAGCTGGACATACTAAACATATCCCAACCTGACGGTGTGTATGATCTGTGTGAGCCAGGCTCCAGTCAGCTCCGTCTTGTTCTCCCAGCCTCCGTAAAGACTCAGATCCCCCTGTGACAGCGTGGTGGGGAGGAGAGCCCCCCGAACCAGGTTCACCAGCCGATTGGTCATCTCCTCGATCATTTTCTAAACATACAGCGCGATGTACAAACAACAAGGTTCAGGTGTCTTTTTTTGCAAACCAAATGCATGAGTCAAAGGCTCAAAATACATTGTTTGTAAACAGTCAAAATGAAGAACCATACTTTAAAATCATTTTGCCTCTGTCTGGCATTCTTCTTGGACTTTTCCACCTGCCCAGACTTCTCTCCAGTCTGCAGGAAGAAAAAAAAAGAAGAAGAATTGGTTAATATATCTGAAAATAGTAAATGTTTTGGCATTTACTTTAAGTTCTTTTGTTAGACCAGTAAAATAACAATTCCCTAAACTTAAACACAGTTTGCAGGCTCCCTGAATGTTCTGATAAACATTTAATAAGAGGTCCAAAATGGAAATCCCTCAAAGATATATTAATTGATGCTTGTAAGAAAAAGCTGCAGTGAAAGAAATGGTTGGGTATCAAACACAACTAGAGAATGCAATTCCTGAAGAAATTGCTAGTGGGAATGCTTTATGCTGAAAAGTTGACGCTGAACTGCTATGCTGAAATGTAATGTGTAAGAAGAAAGTGAAGAATTTAGATTGAAATTAGACATGAACACTGGGGGCTTGAATGTGTGATGAGAGAAGAAAAGAAAGTAAAAAGGCTTGGAAAAGCAGCAGAATATTTGAACTGCCAACTTCTGAACTAACTTGATGGCGAATGATCTGTCGCCATGGCAACGGCATTTGACGAGACCCCATAATACGCTTAGATGCGTTGACGGCTGCATCATTACCAAACCTGTGAAGTTTTGGGCTGTTTGGAGTATTTTCACTGAAGTTTTTTGAAAACCGTGTTTCAAGGCGAGCATTGTGTTGCCATGGCAACAGCATTTGAAGAAATCTCAAAACTGTCCCGTAGATGTCTTCACGGCTGGACTGTTAGTACACATGTGAAGTTTGAGCACTTTTTGAACATTTTCATAGGAATTATAGCGACATCATGTTTTATGGCGAGGGATGCGTTTCCATGGAAACGGCATATGGTGAGATCTCAGATTAGGCGTAGAGCTGTTGAAGCATGGACCGGTGATATACAAGTGAAGATTGGGGGACGATTGGACCGTGTCGATTGGACTTACAGCGACATCGTTTTTCATGGCGAGTGGTCTGTCGCCATGGCAACGACATTTGAAGAAATCTGAAAACGGTCCCGTAGATGTCTTCACGGCTGGACTGTTAGCACACATGTGAAGTTATAGCACTTTTAAAGGGACATCGTGTTTCATGGCGAGTGGGCTGTCGCCATGGCAACGGCATTTGATGACACCCCATACTACGCTTAGATGCGTTGATGGCTGCATCATTACCAAACCTGTGAAGTTCTGGGCTGTTTGGAGTATTTTCACTGAAGTTATGAGAAAACCGTGTTTCAAGGCGAGCATTGTGTTGCCATGGCAACGGCATTTGAAGAAATCTCAAAACTGTCCCGTAGATGTCTTCACGGCTGGACTGTTAGCACACATGTGAAGTTATAGCACTTTTTGACAATTTTGCATAGGAGTTATAGCGACATCATGTTTTATGGCGAGGGATGCGTTTCCATGGAAACGGCATATGGTGAGATCTCAGATTAGGCGTAGAGCTGTTGAGGCATGGACCGGTGATATACAAGTGAAGATTGGGGGACGATTGGACCGTGTCGATGGGACTTACAGCCACATCGTGTTTCATGGCGAGTGGTCCGTCGCCATGGCAACGGCATTTGATGACACCCCATACTACGCTTAGATGCGTTGATGGCTGCATCGTTACCAAACCTGTGAAGTTTTGGGCCGTTTGGAGCATTTTCACTGAAGTTATGAGAAAACCGTGTTTCAAGGCGAGCATTGTGTTGCCATGGCAACGGCATTTGAAGAAATCTCAAAACTGTCCCTGAGATGTCTTCACGGCTGGACTGTTTGCACACTGCTATCTGAAGTCTGCTGCTCTGAGCATGTCAGTTGGAGTGATGACATCATCGTGTTCCATTGCACAGGTGCTTATAGTTGAGCTAACGAGGTGCCTAGACTTCAAAGGCTTCATTGTTCTGAATGAGAGATTAACCTCTTACATGTGAGCGTTTTGTGGAAGAACCGTAACAGATATCTGTGAAATTTCAAAACGTGAAGCATGTCAAGGAAGTTGAGTATCTGAAGTGTAATTTTTGTGTAGTTTCGGGGTAATAATGTGGCCTTTTTGGCAGTTTAACTAAAGGTGTGCGGCTGCTACCGTGAGGAAATATCTGCCTGAAATTACAATGGGGTTTAATGGAGGAATGTTGAACGTTTTTGTCACTTCATGCCCTCAAAAAGCATTTTGTTTAATTATTTTGCTTAATTATTTGTCATTTTTCAAGCTACGAGATGTTTTCCTACATTTGTCATGATAAATTATGTCTCAGGAATGTAGGGTTTGGTAATTATGGCAGTTTAAAAAAAAATATGAATGCAAATTTCAAGCTGTCCTCCACTCTAGCTGTGAAATCACGCACTCTAGTTAATGTTAAAATGTGAAGAAAACCTCTGAAACAAGGTCTGAACAATGTTTAATATCTCTAAAAGTAAGAATCAGATTTAAAAGTTGTTTTACACGAATAATGTCAGAAAGATGTGTAACATTTTAAAGTTGGAATGAGGTTTCTGAGTGAAAGTATGAATGAACAGTTAGCAGTTGAAGTCGCATGAAGATTTGTTGAAGTTGAAGATTTCCTCCATTGACTTCAATGTTAAAAATTTGATGTATTATGGGATGTATCTCTGGAATTATGAAAGTTATGAATGAGAAAAGTAATAGCAATCGATTCCCGACCGAGCTGAACGTTTTGATGTTGAACGGAGTTTCTGCAATGTTCAATGCGGGAGGAGAAGAGGGCCAAAATAACCCGGCGGAATAATAATAAAAATGTTGTCCGTAGAAGAACAGTTAGTTGGAATGCTGTTAACAGCATTCCCACTAAAAAAGGTGCCAGTCCACAAAAGAAAAAAGGCAGTTGACAGTGTGTTAAATGGAGAGCCTGCTTGCTGTGGATTTAAGAAAATAAACCATAGCTTCACAGATAAAATGGGATATACCTAAACCTTTTACGGGTGGAGGGAGAAATCTCCGAGAACATTTTATATCAAACTATCTAAATATAAAAACATGTGAGTGGGAGTTTGTTATTCAAGTCAACCCATCTGTTTGTGTTTGTGTACATATTTCTGATTCTATATCTTTTCTTCACTGTGAAAGCTTCTCAGGCCTTACCTCACTGAAAAGACTTCCGTTAACATAAGAGATCCAGAGCTTCCAGAAGTTGGGCAACTGACCAATCACCACATCGGAGAGCTTCTCCACAAACTGCACCTGCTGCGGGGTTTCAGAGCGCCAGGCTGGAACACAGAGACACACACACTGTATTATACACACCTCAGAGACACACAGTGATTTTCTATGCTGTACTGGGAGGTGATGGGGGACTTAAAGGGTGAAGAAGCAAACCGCACAGGCCTGAAAATATCACAGTGTTTCTGTAATTCAAAAATATAAAGATCAAGATATTTCGCTTCCAGGCACAGCGGCTGTTTGTACTTTTTATCGGATGTAGACACAATGCATGACTCTGTGATTCCCCTAAGCACAAAGTGTTACAAACACAAACAAACAAATGTAGACAGGGAAGCCCCTCTCGAGCACCAAGTGTGTGTGATTGTGTGTGAGTGTGTGTGTGTGGTTGCGGTGCTCACTGCTGGGCCGCGGTGTTCGCAGGCTGCCCCCCCGCTGTAGAGACGCAGTGTGACCCAGCCTGCCGAGGGCCGACGGACGGGTATCCCCCTCAGAATCCAGTGCTCCAACTCCCACTGAGAGACAACGAAAGGAGAAGAGGGGTGAGAGATGGGGTGAAAAGAAACACATACTTCAGATATCAAATAAGCAATTTTTCATAATTCCACATTCCTCAATAAGCTCGGCGGGCTTTCACACCAAACAATCCTCCCTGGCCCCTCTCAGCCTTTCTTTATTTGTGTTCTGATCCGTCTCTGCCGCGGCCCACAGCTGAGAGAATGCGCCCTTGTTTCCAGGATGAGGAAACGGAGCCGTGGGGTTTGTGAGCGCAGGGGTGAGGCGGGTTTACTTTGGCCAAACCGGGCTCAGTTACATCTGATCCTCAGGCGAGCACCAGGGATCCACTAGATGGCAACAGGGAGCTTTGCAACAGAGACGAATGAGAAAGACCTTCTACAACCTCACATTCCTGTCTCAGTGAAGGAGATATATTTACTGTAATGAATCTATGAGATATGTTAACAAAAGAAGGGGTGAAAGTTGACAAATATGAAAGAAAGTGAAACACAAGGGGATCAAACTATGAAAATGAAACTAAGACAGGTTCGTGCAACGCTGCAATACGCCCACATGGAGCTAGTCTAAACCAAGGGAGACGGATGGCCACATTTCCAAAACATGTGTCTGACACACACAGAAAAATGTTCTGGTGAGTCACCGGCTGAGTGGAGTGTGTAAGCAAGTATTGAGAAACCCCTAAGCAAAGAAGGGAACGTGGTTGAGCCTTCCAGCCTAGAAAATATAAGGAAATTCTCGATTGAGTCAGATGTCTGTAAACAGACGAAGTTTGCTCATATCTCACACTCCACGTTGACACACATGGAGCTCTGCAGTGTGTGATGTTTTCCTCTCTTTACAGGGATGAGAGCTGCTGTTGATCCAGGTGTCAGCTGAACCCCCGGCGTCCTCAGAATGCACAAGTGTATGTGTGAGTGTGTGGGATTGTTTAGGTGTGTGTGGGGCTGATTTATGCGTTCAAATAGTTCATTATATTGTTTCTTGCTAAAAGTCTGAAGGTTAAAATATGGGAAGCGCTGTGTATGTGTGTTGAAGATGTAAAGACAAAGCGCCTCGGCTCACTTCCTCATCAGGTCCGATGCTTCTCTGCAGGTTCGGAGGAGTTCCTGTTCCCCAAGGGGTCACTGACCTTGACCACATACACACCTGCTTTCTTTCTAAACACACACTCACCTCACTGACTCCTGTTTGAATTAGTTATTTACCATGCTACAGAATATATGACATAGATTTTCACTGGTTTCTACCCAAAAAGTAGAATTATTTTAAAATGTTATATTTTAAATCTGATTTTAAGTACTCAAGGCTTCAAAGGTTGTTATGATTTCCAATGGTAAACCAACATTTTTCTATAGTAAATAGTTACAGTTCTTTAAGGTGTTGACGGCTGAGGAAATATTTGGGGAAAAGCAAAAAATGGGGATAAAATTAAAACTGCAGAATCCCTTCAAGAAGAAAGCAACACAATTCCCAGTATTTGCCCTGCTAACTGTATTTACATTTTTTGATTTGAGCTTTTGTCTTGAATCAAGTTGTATCATAGTTTTCTGAGCTCTTTCAGAATAAACTAATAATCTGACACTTAAACATATAAATAAACATCCTGAATCTCTTAAAAAAAAATACAACCTTAAAAGGAGCATTATTATGTTCATTTTCAGGTTTATATTTATATGTTCCCTCTCCTCAGACATGCTTACATGCACAACTGTTAAAAAAGGTATTTATTGTTCTCATGCTGCCTGTGCTGCAGCACCTCTCTTCACCCTCTGTCTGAAACCAGAACCCAGTCTGCTCTGATTGGTTAGCTGGCTGGCTCTGTTTTGATTTGTGAACTGCATAGAGATGTCCCGCCCCTTAGGATATCACGTACAATATGTTTGAGCGCTATATAAGACTGCTAGTGATGTCACAGAATTGAAAAAGGAGTCCACTGGAGGCGTTTCAGGCAGGGGAGGTGTGTGGGAGAGGAACTCCCAGGAGGGAACTTTAGGATTTTAGCCTTTGCAAACCGTTTACATGCACAACAATCTATATTACGCACTATAGGAAAGGAAAACCTCAAAAAGCACAAGAGGGCCTCTTTAAAGTAAAAAATACAAAACCCTGCTCTGATAAACATACAATGACCTAACTGAAGAGTATTCATTAACACGTTCACCCTAGGGTAGTACTGAGTCTAAAATCACAACCGCATGTTTGAGAGTCAGAAGTACGAACACTAGAATCCCAGTAATTGTTCACTGACAAACCCATTTTCCTACGAGTAAAAGGTCCTGCTAATTGTATTGATATTGGCAGATGGAGCGCAGTTGGGGAAATAAGAATGATATAATTGAAGGGGGCAGAGTCAGATTGCAGCACCGGGGCACGATGGGACTGTTTAGACATACGGAAGCAACTTGTGCTGTTATGTTTCGTCACAGGAACGCTGGAACTTCAGTCTCTTTGGCCAAACAGAGATGGATGGGTCTATTTCGCGTTCATGGCAATTCATGGGGTAATTAATGGAATCATAACTCCCCCAGAACGGCCTATGACCTCATATTTTGGACTTGGAAACGCAGGAGAAGAGAAGAAAAATGACATCAGTTACTGCAGACGTGAATAATCAATCACACAGGACGTGTGATGCTGACAATAGCATACAAAATGGCTTATAAATACACTGAGCTGCTGAATGTGATACGAGAAGGAAGAGGAGGCCGCCCGGAATGGGGGGGAGGCTGTGGGGTACCGGTAAGGGGGAGGAAGAGTGGGGTCGGGGGAATGTAGTGGATGTGGTTTTTTATGATGGTGGCTGTTTCAAGGGCTGCCTGGGTGGAGGGATGTTTCAAGAGGCACAGGTTTCATACTTGGGCGAGAGGTGAGCAGCGGATGGTAAATAGCTACCAGGTGTGTGTGTGTGTGTGTGTGTGTGTGTGTGTGTGTGTCACATGATATGCTGTTTCCTGAATATCCCTCCGCTCTGTTGGTGGCCGCTTCTAACAAACTATCTCTGAAACATCTTATACTCACGCTGGGACGTCAGTGACCATGAGCCAGAACCCGAACAGGAAGACCACGATCCCAACGAGAGAGGCCGGCAGCAGCCAGCCGGTGTAGAAACCTACACACACACAACAAATGCCCACACACACACACACACACACAAACGCCCACACACACACACACACACACACACACACACACACACACACACACACACACACACACACACACACAGACACACACACACACACACACACACACACACACCCNTTTATGTATGTGCAAATACTTTTTTTGCAGTAAAACAGATGCATGAAATAATCTATGTAGTTGGAAAAACTGCAAATTGTTTGATAATGATCTGCAGGGGCGTTGCCTGGATCTCATCGGGAGATAAGACCGACAATTGTACATAATAAAAAAATATGTATATATATATATATATACAGTATGTACATTCACTGGCTACTTTATTAGGTACACCTAATGCAATGCATTTAGGCATGTATACATGGTCAAGAGGACCTGGTGAATTTCAAACAGAACTTAAGAATGGGGAAGAAAGGTGATTTAAGTGACTGTGAACATGGTTGTTGGCTCCAGACGGGCTGGTCTGATTGTTTCAGAAACTGCTGATCTACTGGGATCACAACCATCTCTAGGGTTTACAGAGCATGATCAGAAAAAGGGAAAATATCCAGTGAGCGGCCGCTCTCTGGGCGAAAATGCCTCGTTGATGCCAGAGGTCAGAGAAGGGCCTGACTGGTTAAAGATCATAAAGGCAACAGTAACTCAAATAACCACTCGTTACAACCAAGGTACCACACATGGAACCTTGAAGCAGAATGATGACGCCACTGATGATCTGCCACGCAAAGTTGAATGTTTTCTCTGTGTAATGCTGAAGCAGTTTGGTCGTCTCCTACGGTGAATGCTGACTTTAAATTCTGTAGTGGATAACAAAAGATCTGGACAATAATGTTTTTTAGAGATATTCAAGCATCAGTTGTTGTTTTTTTATGTATACTTATTATATGTTGCCATACATTTCTTAAGTTATTTTTAATTTAAGTATAAGGTTAGCAATATTCTCAATAGTTGTCTGCTCTTTGTGTTTTATAATAACATTGCTATTTGACTGGAAAGTTGTATTTCCTTTATTTGCTATTTTCTTACATGTTATGGACTTAATAATCACGTCATCCAAAATAACTTGCAACCCTGACGTTCTGCTCATAAACTCTGTGTGAACGTGGTTTTCAGATATAACCTCTCAGTTGTTTTTCTCAGGGAACCTAATCAAGTGATGACATCGTCCCTGCTCTTCTTGTAAATGATTTGGTCGTGGTGACAAATGAACTGTGGCTTATTTTGATTGTTTTCCATGAAAGTGGAAACAGACTGTAATCTGAGCAGAAATCAGGAAGGCCTTGTCTCCAGCGCGGCGCGGAAAACGTGGCCGACCTCTTCCTCTCTATCCTCCCCTCGTGATGTCATCATACATGTTTGTGACAGAGACGCGTTTGATTAACCAGCCTCTTCCTGCACATGAACCACACTTCCTGTTCAGAAGCAGCTCACATAGTTATGAACAGAGGTCGTAACAATTTTGCAATTGAACCATTTATTTTTCTTTAGAAAACAGGAATGTGTTCATTAAATGTGTCCAAACATTCACTTTAACTCTTTCTTAAAATTGATGTATGCCAGTTACATTATAACAAATAGCAACTGAAATATTTCAAATGAAGTTGAAAAAGCTTATATATAAAATCTGCTCCCTGAGTTTCTCACACAAACAGCCAAGCACAATAATCATAATTCACTAAATGGTGATGATAGTGTCTCCTAGCAATAAAAATATATTCAAAAGAGAAAATCCACACCATTCTCACCTCAGTACAGCAAATATGAAGCTACCGTCCAATGAAGATTAGCTTAGCTTAGCATAAAGACTACATATGACTAGCCTCACTCATTTAAGTGTTAAACTGTCTATCAGTAATCCCCTTTAAAGCACTGATATGGGACATTACCTTATAAGGTTTATGTAAGTATAAAACAAGTGTAAAAACGCAGTCTTACTCAAAACCCCACAAACTGACGTTTTTAAACTAAATTGTCTTTCAGAATAAACCAATAAAAAATAACATGATAAATTGTGAGCTTTAAAAAGTTGCTGGTACTGTAGGTGGATTGTGTTACCTTTAGAGATAGTCAGGCTAACCAATTTCCCGTTTTCAGTGTTTGTGCTAAGCTAATCGCTAGCTGGCTCCAGCTTCATCTGTTTACTGTACAGACTCCAGAATGTTTTCAGTTTGTTTGACAAGAAACAACATTTCCCAAATGTCT